CCCCAAAACCCCAAAACCCCAAAACCCCAAAACCCCAAAACCCCAAAACCCCTCTAAAGCTATAAATAGAAGTTTTTAAAGAAATTAATAATATTAAATAAAAGAGGACTAAATCACAAATTAGATTTGGACCAAGGTGTCTCAAGGGCCTGCAGAAGGTCTCCTTGGTCCACCGGTATCTTTTGTTGTTGCAAATAGGTCAGCTGGATGAAGGAGAAGTTCATCCCTTTGAAGTTTAGAAATCTTGCAGAAAACAGAGATTCATTGAAGACATTCATCAAGGTGATAGGCTAAGTACAAAAACCAGATTACTAAGGAGATATCAGAAAGCTCAGCAACCTCTCAGAGACATTCAACCAGGCAGGTTCATGTATTTTTGTAGCACAACGGACAATACTTGACTGTAGAACACCGAAGAAACTCAGTTCACTAAGATTCTTGTCTCCATCTGCCAGCTTTTCAACGAAAAGGGATCCAACCATATTCAGAGGTTTGGATCCCGTCGTAAGCCTTGTCTGATAAATAGAAGCAAATGCCAGAATTTGCTTTCTTTCATGTCTCTTCCAGATTCATCTGAGTGCACCTTTGTTTCAAAGATTTCAGAATTTGTCAAATCTCGGTGAATCCTCTCAAAACGTTCAGTCTGGAGATCCTTCTCCTCGGTATCTAGTTAAGTATCTAGAACACCACAGTCTTTCTTTTTCAGACAGGCCAAATGATTGACTTGAGATCCTAGACTCTGACAGTAAGCACTATCTCCTTGATTTGAAAGTTATGATGATAAACTTAGGCTGTTCTATAACATTCGCAGGCGCTCGCATAGCAATTGCAATGTGCGACAGACTCTTCCGTAGAAGACTGAACTTTCTCATCCCCAGTTATTCAGGAATAACACTCTGTTTAGGAAGAAAACAAGACCCAAGCTATTCATGTCTACTCAAGCCGACTGCTTTGAGTGAGTTTTTGTTCCTAATAGGTGATCTTCTCAAGCCATGGCAATCTGTTTATGCACCGAAGTTCTTTTCTTCCAGACAACTCCTACCTTTAGTAAGGTTTTGTTCTGTATAGCGGACCACATTTTGAAAGTGTCCAGACAGAATTCTTTATTGCTATCACTTTCCCAGCTACTTTCTTTGAAGCAAGATTTCTTTCAGCTATATTCTTGAAGCCAGATTTCAGATCCAGATGAAACCCGCGAATCTTTAGAAGCTATACCGAAGACCTATTATTTTGAAGTCTCGAATTTTCGATTATATTCTCGTTCAGAATAGAACTCAGTTTCAGACACATTTTCGATATAATAGTTCCTAGTTAGTACATTTCAGACAAGATTTTCCAGAAAGTTCCTTTTCCTCTCAGAATTCCAGAAATTTCAAGTTAATTGAGACATTGAGGTTCACTAAGTTTTCTACCGAATACCCAGAATTTTTCAGATTTGTACAATAATGTTATAATATCAAGATTTCACAGCAACTTAGAGGTTATTTTGACTGGAGATTTGCTCTTTCAGTTGCTGCTTTCAGTTCTGAAGACTAAAAATTTACTGTTGACGTTTCTTGACATCCTGACCCTCTTCAATGATACCCTGAATGCATCCTTTCGAGCTATCAGACAGACAGAAGCTCACATTAAGTCTCCATTAACAACAATTAAACCTAATTTCTTTACTTTCGGGATTATATGGGGTTTTGGGGTTTTGGGGTTTTGGGGTTTTGGGGTTTTGGGG